CTGCAGAAGTTTTTAATCTTATGAAGTCCATCTTATCAGCTTTTTCTTTCATTGATCATGTTTTGGATTTTGTATATAAGAAGTCATTGCCAAGCCAGTTATTTGGATTTTCTCTGGTGTAATTTCTAGAAGTGTTTCAGTTTTGTAGTTGACACTTATGATCCATTTTGACTCCAGCAATTTGCCTTTACTCATTTGTCAAAGAATGGATGACTAGATATTTTGTGGGCCTGATTCTTGCTTTTCTGTTATATTCCATTGTATTTTCTATTCTTTTGTCAAAATAGCAGTTTTTCTTGATCACTGCAGCTTAATAGTAAGTCTTAAAATCTGTCTTCCAATTTTGTTATTCTTCAGGGCTGTGTTCTTTTTTCATTTTTATTTTTTCAGTATTGTGCTCTTTATTCTGGGTCTTTTCCATATAAATTTTTGAATTAATTTATTGATATCTACAAAATACTTGGCTGAGATTTATATTGGAATTGCATTAAATCAAGTTAGGAAGAACTGTTATCTTAGTAGTCTTGAATCTTTCTACCTATAAACAAAATATCCCTCCACTTACTTAGATCTTTTTAAAATTTTGCCAGAGATTTTTAGTTTTTCTTATATAGATTAGATACATATTTTATTAGATTTTAATTTTCAAAATAAATTGTTTAATTTGGTACATAGGGAAAAATTGATTTTTAAATATTATCTTTATATCTACAAACTTACTGTAACTTTATTAATTCCAGAAGATTTTTGCCTTTGATTTTTTATTTCTTTTAGATTCTCAATAAAGAAAAATTATATCATCTGCAAGTAAACAGTTTGTTTCTTCTTTTCAATATACATACCTCTCATTTCCTTTTATTGTCTTATTACATTAGCTAGGATTTCCAGTATGATGTTGGAGAGGTGAGAGAACATCACTGCCGCATTACTGATTTTAGGAGGAAAACATCTAATTTTCATCTTAAGTGCATTAACTGTAGGCATTTTGTAGATGTCTTTATCAGGTTGAACAAGTTCCCTTCTTCTTTTTTTAATCATTTTATTGGGAGCTTGTACAGCTCCCAATATTATCACAATACATACATACATTGTGTCAATCACATTTGTATATTTGTTGCCATCATCATTTTCAAAACATTTTATTTCTACTTGAGCCCTTGGTATTAGCTCCTCATTTTTCCCCTCCTTCCTCCACCCTCCCTCCATCATGGACCCTTGATAAGTTATAAATGATTACTATTTTTTCATGTCTTACACTGGTTGATATCTCCCTTCACCCACTTTTCAGTTGTCCATCGCCCTGGGAGAGGGTTATAGATAGATCATTGTGATTAGTTCCCCCTTGCAAGTTCTCTTCTATTCTTAGTATGTTAAACATATTAAACCATGAATAGGTGTCAAATGTTTCCTCTACATCTATTGATATGATTACATGAATTTTCTCAGTCTATTGATATGATGCCATATAAATTGACCTTTTAATCCATATTTACATATGTGGAGTAATCTTACCTGATTATACAACAGAGTTTTTATACACTGTTGTATTCCATTTACAAATATTTTCTTGATGGTTTTTACATCTATGTTCATGAGAGATATTGGTATGTAACTTTTTGTCATGTAACGGTCTGGTTTGGGTTTTAGGATAATATTGTATATTTTCTGATGAGGCTGTGAAAATTCAACATCTTTTTCTTCTCAGTGTTTCCCAGGAACCCCAGTGAAACCATCTGGGCCTGATTAGGAAAGTTATTGCTCGTTGCTCTAACTTCTTTAGCCTGTTCAGATGGTCTGTTTCTCCTCTTGTGATTTCCATCCATTGCATATAAATCATCAAGCCATTCCCAGTCTTTTACTGTCCAAGGACCCGGCTGTGATGATGCCTCGTTTCTTTCCGAGGGAAGGAGGTTGTGTCTTCATTTTGGTTAGTTCCAATGAACTTGATCAATTTTATTGATATTTCCTCAGAACCAGCTGTAGGCCGTGTTTATGTTCTGTTTTATTTCAGAAGTTCCAAGAAGCTTACAAAGATTCAGATCTATTCCCTCAAGAGAGACTTTATTCACATGTGAAAATTTTTAAAAATTTGTGTTACTAAATTTCTGCCAGCTTTACTCTATGAAAATAAGGGCATTTTAAATGATTTGTGATCAAAACAGAAAAAGGGTTGAGTCTTTCTTTCTTGTTTGAGAGGATGTGGATAGCCTCTGTTTTTAAAAAAGAACCAAATGTTTCTATCATGTTCTATTCATAAGAAAACGATGCAGAATCAAGTTCTTGGAAATCTTGGAATCTGGCTCTGGCGGTGGGGTCAGCAACGGACCCCTGCACCAGGCAAGCAGCCCAGGGCTTCAGCACGAGCTCAGGAATCGACACACAGCAGTGCGGTAGCCGTCATGCCCTACTTTAACCTCCCACTATTTCTCTAAAGTCCTTAAGAGCTGGCGGAGGAAGGGGGTGGGGGTGCGCAACACTTCCGTTTAGCATACTTGCCAAGAAACATGTTTTATAAATCTCGGTGGGTGCTTTGACTCCCATGACACAGCGGAGGTGCGTTGATCCCAGTGGCAGGTAGTGCTTTGGCTGGGACAGCCTCCTTCACTCATTTGGCCTTTTGCTTGTTTGGAGGGAAGGGACGGAGATGAGAGAGAAAGACGGAAAAGGGAAGAAAGCTAGTGAATGATAGATGTCTTTCAATAGTTTCGTGACTAATGAGAAAAATCCAGGTTCACCACACTCACTGCCAGCCAGTTGGTATCAATGGATAGTGACCCTGTGGGACAGGGTAGAACCGTCACTGTGAGGTTCTGGGACTGTAATGTTTTACAGGAAGAGAAAGTCTCATTTTTCTCCTGAGAAGCTGCTGGTGGTTTTGAACTACTGACTCTGCAGCTAACATCCCAAAGCGTAACCACTATGCCACCAGGGCTCCTGAGTAGTGAGAAAGTAGACTGAATATGGAAATAAATTCCCCCTCTCTCTGTGCTTATACACTATAACTGTCTTTTCAGGGGGAAATTGCCCTGCACGTAGAAAAGCCCATGTTTGGTTTAATCTTCTGCTCTTGCCATCTTGAAACATTTAATCATTTTCAAGCAAGGGACCCATTAGCACTGTATGCTGAGCCCTGAAAATGTTGTAACCAGTACTACCCCTTGTTTCCAGGACAATTGATTTGTCTCCTTAAGAACTATGTCTGGTTCATAAAGGTGCCTGATACAATTTTGTAGTGTAAGTGAATAACGCTTGAAGCTCTTCAAAACAAGCAGATGATCGGAAATTTAACCAAAATTTTCTAGAACAGGGAATGAGAGCGAGACTCAGGCAGAATACCTACAAGTTTATTTTAAAACAAAAAGCAGGTAACAGTTAACTGTGTTTTTTAGTATATCTGTGTGCTCCATCTCCTTGGAGGGAGCTGAGCCACTACGAGATCTGTTAGATTCTTCCAGCATTTTGTGTACCTTGATTATACCAGGAATAATATGAGGATGCTTCAGAAACTTAAGGGACAATGAAAGGAATTAAGGTATCATGGAATCTTTAAAACAAGCCCTTCAAGTCCTCTGCTCTATGGCATTATAAATGTTTTCATACTTGTGTAGATTATTTGAAACTCTGTGCATCATACTGCAATTTGTTGTTTGTGCTATGACGCCTAAGTTAGGTGTTGAGCTGGTAAAGTAACAGTTGGTGGTTTCAAACCCAGCAGTCACTGGGCAGGGGAAAGCTGAGGCTGTCGGCTCCGGTGAAGATTTAGTCTCGGAAACATGACATAGAGTTGCTATGGGTTTTGAATTGACTCCACATTAGCTGGTTTATCTTCTCTGTCAGGCGTCCCAAGGTACAGTGGTTACAAGCTCAGCTGTTAACTTAATGGTGGGAGGTTTAGGCCTACCAGCCACTGAGGGAAGAAAAGGCACAGAGACCTGACTCCATAAAGATTTCAGTCCTGGAAACCCATTTGGGGAATTCTTCTCTGTCCTGAAAGAGGTCGCTATGAATTGGAATCAACTGAATGGAAGAAACTTGGAACTTTCTGATTTTGTCTTGTTCATAGACTCTATCCAGATGGACACATGTAGCCCTAGAATAAGTCTCATTTGTCATTGCCGAAATGGAACGCCCTTTCCCAGCCTGCCAGCCACTTAAGGGAAGTTGCTTAAAAGTGAAATGAGTCTGTCTAAATTCTGGCTCTGCTACTAAAGAGCTAGGTGACCTTGGACAAGCTACATAATCTTCCTGAAACTGAATTTTCATGTGTGTAAAACGGGATCAATAATGTGTATGCCCCTGAAGATATTTTTGTTACATATAAATGAAAAAATTGTAAAATCTAGCATTTGGCAAAAAGTACAGGAAGGAAAAAGAAAGTAAGTAGTGGGAGTATCATTACCTTGCCATACATACAATCTGAGTATTGGGAAACCATAAGCAAATGGCTAACAGGGATTTTACGATGCCGTTTTCTCGTTGTAACCATTGTCAGGCTGTTAGTCTTCAATTCTTCGTTTTCATAAAAAAATTTCATCCTTAAAATGCAAGGTCTTGCGTGCATCTTTGAGTCCCTCTTTCACAAAATTGAGCAAGGTGATCTATGACATGGCTTCAACAAAATAAAGAAGACTTTTAAGTATTTTTAAAAATATGTCTATGTTCTTCTCTATAATTGGATCAAAAATGATACTTACTGTTTTCTAGTTTTTAATGTTGCAAAATAACAAATGATAAGGCTGAGAGGTCTGGACTTCTATCAGACCAAAGCTGTACTTCCATACAGACCTCTAACTTGTAATTAGACATCAAAAGCTCAAGAATCCATTAAGCTATTGTTTTAAATTCTCATCTTCTCTGCAAGTGTATTTGGAAAACTGAGTGGACATCAATATCAAAAATAGCCATCTGAAATAAGTGGGATTCAGGAATGTGTTGCAAAACTTGAAATGGCATTCTAAACCTCTGTGATTATCAGACATTTCGTTTTGATTATTCAACAGACTTTATACCATTCGATATAGAGAAAAGGATAAGGAAAAGAAATGGGTTTTCCAACTCTGCCCATCCACGGAAACGATTGTGGAAAATCTGAAACCCGACACAGTTTATGAGTTCGGAGTGAAGGACGATAGGGAGGGTGGACTTTGGAGTAAGATCTTCAATCACAAGACTATTGTTGGAAGTAAGTACTTGAACTGCTTTATAAATAAACTTTCTATACATATACTGTCAATCATTTTATAAGGTATGTGATATAAAATAAGTGATTCAGATGTCCTAGTATTTGGGAAAATTCCAGTCAACCAAATTTTTACAATATTGATATTTCAAAATCATCAGAGCAAATGGGTTTCTATTTTTTAAATAAGTGATGCACTAATATTTAACAGCCTCCATTGATAACAAATCATTGTCGTTGTAGTATTTTTAAGTGAGGCTTTGTCCTTGAACCAAAGAAACCAGTATTTGTGTGACTGCTCTGAATGGAAAGTTAGGAAGTGGATGGTAAGTGGTGTTAGAGAGCGCTGGACTTGCCTCGTGAAAATTCTTCATTCAAGTTTCATTAGACTCGGTTTTTGAAGTGATAAGAATGAAAATAATATGTGCAAATCAGAACGGGTGTTATAGCTGTCTTTATAACTTACAATTACTTAGGAGCTAGTAGAAAGGAAAGAATGTCATGTTCTTCTTCTTTTGTCAGGCAAAAAAGTAAATGGGAAAATCCAGAGTACCTATGAGCAAGTCCACCAAGTGGTATGTACCAACTGACTTTAAGAATAGTTTAAAATGTGTGCATTGTCGTGTTATGTGAATATGATAATAGTCCTATTGCCAAGATACTGAAATTTTGCATTGCCTGACCAGCTGAAGGTGTTGTATAAAATAATATTTTGGAAGTTAGTTTCTTAATCTCCACAAGGGGTAAAGGCCAAAGACCAAATTATCTCTAATTTGTTTATAGTTCTAAAATTCTGAGATTTGATGGTTATTTCAGTGTGTGAAGATTCTGGGTATTTTGAGGTTCTGCTTATTACCGTCTGTCCTGTGTGGTGTTCTTCAACATAACGTGTTCCAAGGATTAACTAGTGTCTCAAGAATTAACTAGTGAGCCTTGATGGTACCTTGGTGAAAGCACTCACTTGCTAATAAAACAACATGTGTTTTTTTTTTTACCACTTGATTTCTAGACATTTGTTATTTTCCATTTAATGAGCTTAGTTTCAAGTTTTTGTTTATTGGACTTCTCTCCTTTTTTGGAATATTTAAAGATTTTCCATTTTAAAGAGCCTTAACTTTTGTGATATCATCAAAAAACCTTTTTTCTCACATCTGTTGCCAATTACTTTTATAAGTGTTCCTAAAATAGGATATCTTAAATTTTAATTAAAATATTAGTCTTTTTAAAAAATGCTATGTCTTTGATTGTATTATAATTTAAAACGTCCTCCTCTATCCAGAGAGAAGATAAATATGTCCTTTTAAAAATATCCATACTTTTAATGGTTACACCGGTCTTGATCAGATGAGTAAATCCAGTCTTATTCCGGCTTTAAACTTTTGTCTTATAGTCTGCTCCCACTCTGTCCAGGACCATTTAATGTCTCCACCAGGGAGCGTGCAGCTCTTCCACAGCTCAGGAGGCTGTGGTTTGCATGGCTTGTTGGCATTTGGGACTAATTATTTCTTTGATTTTTCTTTCCCCTTTTTCACTCTGTCGTCTGCACACAGAACTATTAAGACTAGCCACTAGTCACCAGAGTGAGGTGGGGAGTACTGCTTTTGTAAACTGCTATGCCAACTGAGTTAGTGGGTCCTCAATACTGTTGCCCAAAGCCTTGGCCCCGGCCCAGTGACTCATGGCCTCAAGGTGCTTGGTTCTGGCTAAGTAGTTTGCATAACTTTGCTCGTTTGCCCTACTTATTATGTACATGGATATGTTTATAGAACATGTAGATAGGAGCAGCGACATGAGAGGGAACCCTGGTGGTGTAGTGGAAATGAGTTCAGCTGCGATCTACAAGGTCAGCAGTTTGAAACCACCAGCTGTTCCGAGGGAGAAAGGCGGGCTTTCTTGTCCTGTAAAGAGTTACAGTCTTAGAAACTCATAGGGGGTGGTTCTACCTCCTTCTATGAGGTCACTATAATGACTCGATGGCAGCGAGAGATATGAGGGGGTTTCAAAAAAGTTCATGGTGAAATATCCTTTAACACAAACTTTTGAAACCCCTTTGAATGTATGTAGAAATGCCCTCTGCCATACCCATAAGTAATCATAGACATAGTGCCATTCACCTAGCCATACCTATTAAGCTTGTGTGTCTACCTGTGTGCCCACTAGTAAATTACTGTTTCTTATTACTGAATTGCAGGATTGTGTTTGCAATAGTGTTCACTATTGTTAACATTCTCTGTTGATTACATTATTTTATTATTAAGCTATGATTCCTTCATATGCCATCATTTTCACATCTTATGGTTATAACATCCTGTTAAATCTCTGTGAGGATAATTTTTGATTTGTTTTTCTTAAGTCCTTTTTTGTTGCTTTGATGATCTATTTCCTCCAGTAATGATGAAATTTAGATGGGCAAGTTGAACCCAAATCATTCTACCCACACTAATTTTCTACTAGTGAGTATCTTTGTTTAGTTAGTTTACTTTACCAATCTGGATTTCCAAGGACTAGTCTCTCCTGAAAATGTGTCCAAACTATGTGAGACAATGTTTTCTCATCTTCAGACAGTAAAATTAAATAGAGGAAAATACGAGGAGGCAAAAGACATTGATAGAGGTCTAATCACGGGCAGGTGCATATGTACATATATATGATGGTGGGGAAATAGATCTATGTCCATATATTTATAGGTTTAGTATTAAGGTGACAGATGGACATTGGGCCTCCACTCAAGTGCTCCCTCAATGCAAGAACACTTTGTTCTATTAAACTGGCATTCCATGATGCTCACCTTCCCAATGCAATTGCTGAAGACAAAGCGGGTGCATAAGCAAATGTGGTAAAGAAAGTTGATGGTGCCTGGCTATCAAAAGATACAGCATCTGGGGTCTTAAAGGCTGGAAGGGAAACAAGCAGCCATCTAGCTCAGAAGCAACAAAGCCCACATGGAAGAAGCACACCAGCCTGTGTGATCACGAGGTGTCGATGGGATCAGGTATCAGGCATCAAACAACAAAAAATCGTATCATTGAGAATGAGGTGCAGTGTGGAGTAGGGACCCAAAGCCCATCTGTAGGTAACTGGACATCCCCTTATAGAAGGGTCATGGGGAGTAGACGAGCCAGTCAGGGTGCAGTGTAGCAACAATGAAACATACAACTTCCCTCTAGTTCTTTAACGCTTCCTCCTCCACCATTATCATGATCCCAATTCTACCTTACAAATCTGGCCTAACCAGAGGATGTACACTGGTCCAGATAGGAACTGGAAACACGGGGAATCCCGGACAGATGATCCCTTCAGGACCAGTAGTGAGAGTCGCGATACCTGGAGGGTGGACGGAAGGTGGGGTAGAAAGGGGCAACCTATTATAGGGATCTACATATAGCCCCCTCCCTGGGGGACAGACAGCAGAAAAATGGGGGACGGGAGATGTCAAACAGTGTAAGACATAACAAAATAATAATAATTTATGAATTATCAAGACTTGAAGTATTCTTCCCCAGCACCACAACCCTCCGTTCTTTTGAAGTCTTCTCTATGCACTGTGCAAACTTCACGTGCCTGTGAAGTCATGATACCATGGGTTGGGCCAGGAACACCTTAGCCCTCAAAGTGACTCCTTTGTTCTTTAACACTTGAAATATGTGTTGTGCAGAAGATTTGCCCAGGGCACTACATCCTGTGGTTTCCTGCCTGCTTGACTATGGACTGTGGATGCAGGCAAAAGGAAACCCTTGAAGACCAATCAGTGTTGTCCTTTGCCTTGATGATATTGTGCTGATCTCTCCCTTAATGGACACTGTTTTTCCCTTTCCCCATATCAATGCCTGTCCATTATCCCGGCAGTGATTTTCATTGCTTCCACTATGTTCCATTCCTCTATCTCTCTCACCGCCATCGAGTTGATGTGGACTCACAGAGACCCAATAGACAGCGTAGAGCTGTCCCTGTGGGTTTCCAACACTGTAATTCTTTACAGGAGGAATAAAGCCTTGTCTTGTCCTGTGGTTTTGAACTGATGGACTTAGTAACCATCAAACATTTCTTTCTGTGTGCAAGTATTTCTTAGACACCTGTCAGACTTGAATCTGTACTCATCCCTGGGATCGCCTTGCAATGGAACAACAAGAAGACCTATAAACAGTCCCGTCCATGAGGCATTGACTCTTTAGAGAAACTGGCCATAAAAGGCCTTCTGGGTAATATATGCCCCAAAACAAGGTTCAAAAGGTAGGAAGGGACAGGAAAGAAGGATTAATGGAAATGGGGCACCCAGGCAAGATGGAAGAAGAATGCTGCTGCTTTGAGGGAATTGCAACCAGTGCTACAAAGCAAAGTATCTAAGCTACTAAATGGGAATCTTTGGTCTGTACACTTTCAACAAAACTCCAATCAGCGGTCTTCAATTCAAGAGTTAGTGGAAAAACTACAGTGTCTGTGTTGGCCTCAAACACGTGGGTTTCAAAGCAACAACGTGGGACCTGGCTAGTATTAATTTTTTTTAATTAAAAAATAATTCCAACTAGTTTTATTTATTTATTTATTTATTTTTTACTTTAAAAAAATAATTTTATTGGGGTATCTTACAGAGTTTTATTTTTTAATAACCACAAAATACCTATGTGGATTTTGTTTTGCTGTATGGTATATAGCTGAGTTATATTGGTTAGGTTATTATTTTCCCTAAATAATTAACCTAACCTATTACCATGAATGGGAGGAAGTCAGGGCTTTCTGCTCCTGTAAAGAGTTAGTCTTGGAAATGCACAGAGACAGTTCTACCAGGTCCTATAGGGTCACTATGAATTGGCATGATTCAATGGCCGTGAGTTTGAGGCTCTCTGGTGTTGCTTTATTTGGTTACTATGCATGAGAGCCCCGGTGGCATAGGGGTCGGTGACACATCGGGCTGTCAACTGTGAGGCCAGCACTTTTGAAAGCACCAGCTGCCCCGGCAGGAAGATGACGTTGTTTCTGTTTTGTTTTCCCATAAGAATTAGTCTCAGAAACTCACAGGGCAGTCACCACGAGTCCAAATCCACTCAAGGGCTGTGGGTTCGGTTGTTTGTTTAAAAAATTATGTTAACTTAAATTTGTATGACCCTGAATTGAATTGTGCTGCTCCCTCCATTCCCTTTGGCATTGTTTCTCTCAAACCCAGTCTGTTGGGTAGGAGACACAAGTCTGCCGTACCTCGTGGGGAAACTGGCATACAGTTGCTTTCTTCTGTTTGTGAGGACAACCCTCTCTCTGTGTTGTGATTCGTTTCCTAGGAAGCATGTCTTACCTTAGAACCCCTGGGCCCTCATATTTTCATGGGACTCGATGGTTTTTTCTTCATTCTTTTGTTTCAGTTATCGTAGCCCAATCATTCATCTTCATTCTGGTAGTCTGTACCATTTGGGGTGCATTACTCAGCAAGACTGAGAATACTGATGTTTTAGTCCAAGAAAATGTCATTTCTTTTCCCATCATAAACAGCCAGGAGAGGTCAAGAAGCAACTTCCTGGATATCTGAGACAGAGCCAGGCATTTTAGCACTTCAAGCTGTGAGGTGGGGCAACCCAACCCCAGC